GAGAGGAACAGGAAGGAGCTCACTGTGGTTCTGTACACGCTGCTCGCGCCAATTGGCCAGGTAGGCACTCCCGCGCGTGCCCTCAGCGCACACGCGCAAAGGAAGCCGCGAGGGTACTGGTGCGGAGCGGCAAGAAGACTGGATTGGACTGGCAGCGCTGGACTCAACAGGACACGAGCACCTTTCTCGCCGCTGTCCAAGCGAGGGAGGGGCCTTCGGTGGAGTTCCCTCCGGGGCAATTCAAAGCGCGAGGGGTGCGCCGAAGTGAGGCGGTGTCGCCATGCGGATTTTTACCACTGGGGCCTTCGGAGGAGCTCCGCTGTGGGGCCGCGAAGCGCGCGAGGGGTCCGCCGCAATGGGGCGGTGCTGCCATGCGGATTTCGCGACAAGGGCCTTCAGCGCAGCTCCCTATCTGGCCATCGATCGGACGTCCATTCCCTGTGTTTTTTTTCGATTTCGTGCGCGGTTTTTTCGCCAAATGATCAAGGATGCTCCTCGATGGTCCTCGCCGAAGGACAAAAAAAAACACGTCCGAGCGATACCAAGCTATGGGGGGCACGAAGCGTGAGAGGAGTGCACCGAGCTGGAGCCGTGCCGGCATGCGGACTTGGCCGCTGGGGCTTCAGGCGGAGAGATCTCCAAGGGGCCACGAAACGCGCGCGAGGGGAGTGCCGACATATGAGCGGCGCCGCCATGCGGACTTTGCTTCGGGGGCCTTCGGCGCAGCCTCCCGGGGGTCCATGAAAGGTGCGAGGGGCCTACGGAAGTGGACATGCGGAGAGCAGAGGCGGGGAGAGGAGGGAAGGAGGGGGGGGGTGAAGGGGTGAGTGACGCGGGGCGCGACCTCGTCACACCGAGGACCCAGCGCCACCGAACGGCTCGGAAAAACTGGAGCGAACTGCGTGGATCACGGATGGAAGAAGCCTCCTTCTTATCAAGGGGGGCTCCGATTGAGACCTCCCGGCACCTGCAGGCAAGGAGCTCAAGACTGCGCAATGATGCGCACACGGATGGAGGGCAGACCCTCTCCAAAACGGAGCCATCGCTGAACACCTCCGTGGCGTCATAAAACGGATGGAGGGCACACCCTCTCACCAAAACGGAGCAACCGCTGAATACCTCCGTGGCGTCCATGGCCACACCTCCTGGGACTCCCAACTGTTAAGGCCCAGTAAGACGACCGGCGTGCTGACCCCCCCCCTTCGCGACAAGAGGTGCGTCGCGCATTCGTCGCCCGTGCGCCGCCCGTGCGTCAGCCGCCGAAAAGGCCAGCCGCCCTCTCGAACGTGCACGTCGCCCTCGCGAACGTGCCACACCAGGTTGGGACCCCCAACCTGGTGGCAAGACGCAATGCGGGCCCTCTGCACACAGGGGCCTCTGCGCACTGGCAGGCCCACGGGGCGGCCGCCTGTCGGCAGGGGCGCCGCCCGACGCGGCAGGGCATACGGCAGGTTCGTGTCGTGACGACCCCATCTAGGAGGCCTAGGCTTGAGTCGGGCCTGTCCCCCTACAGGGGGCCTTGGGGCGAACAGACACAAAATTACAAAAATACCCCCAAATGCCTTACAATTATGAATGATGATAATAAGAATAAGAATAATAAGAATAATAAGAATAAGAACAAGAATAAGAATAAGAATAAGAATCATAATCAGAATCAGAATAAGAATAAGAATAATAATCATAATCAGAGTAATAATAAGAATAATAATAATAATAATAAATACTAAGCATAACAATAAGAGTAATCATAATAATAATAACAATAATAACAATGATAATAAAATGAAAGAGAAAAAGGAACACAAAAAAAAACGTCCCCAGACTATTGCTTTACTATGTTTGAAGATTCCCCCTGTAGAGGGACAGGCCCGACTGAAGCCTGGAATGGAGGGCGGGGCGGTGGGCTTAGCCCAGTGGGACAATCCGAGATCCAATACGGCAGGTTCGTGCCGTGCCGACCCCAGCCTTGGTTTCCGACACCGCGTGGACCGCTCAACCTGGAACGATCGGCGGCTTGTCGATCGCCCGATCGTGAGAGTGTTGGTCGATTTCTAGGCCACCGGCGGCGTTCAACCTTGAACGCCCGCGGCGGGGTCGCCGATGGTCGACACGACGCGACCCTACCGTGCGTGAGGTAAGCTATGACTCCTGGAGAGGCCGCCTGGAACGGGTGGGTGTAGTGCAGCACCAGCGATGCGTAGTGGGTCTACTCTGGTCCTCCTCCTCCTCCCTCCTCCTCCTCCTCCTCCTCATCCTTCTCCTCCTCCACCTCTTCCTCCTCCTCCTCTTCCTTCTCCTCCTCCTCCTCCACCGCGTGCTCCTCCACGTTCTCCTTGTCCTTCTCCTCCTCCTCCACATCCGCCTCCTCCACCAGCTGCTAATATTCTTCCTCATCATCATCCTCATCATTATCCTCTGACCCATCCTCCTCATCCTCCTCATCATCACCATCAGCATCATCATCAGAATCAGCATCACCCTCCTCCTCTTCCTCGTTGTCAGGATCAGCATCATCAGCATCAGCATTATCATCATCGTCATCAGCAGCATCATCGTCATCATCAGCATTATCATCAACATCATCATCATCATAATCAGCATCATCATAATCATCAACAGCAACATCGGCATGATCAGCATCAGCAGCATCATAATCGTCATCTTCATTATCATCATCAGCATCTGCATCATTATCTTCCTCAGCATCATCAGCATCACCATCGCCGTCGTCAGCAACTTCATCATCATCGTCAGCATCGTCATCGTCATCGTGAGCATGACCGTCATCATCATCATCATCATCATCATCATCATCATCAGTATCATCATAATATTCGTCGTCATCAGCATCATCATCAGCATCAGCATCAGCATCACCATGGTCGTCGTCATCATCTTCATCCACCACCACCACCATCAGCAGCAGCATCGCTATCAGCCTCCTCCTCCTCCTCGTCCTCCTCGTCCGCCTGCTAGCACGCCGCCTCCACCAACGCATCATGCACTTCCTCATTCGCCGCGACACCCCCGTCATCATTATCCTCCTCCAGCGCGTCCACCCCGTCATGTCTGTGCCGCCCTCCTGCCGAGGGGCCTTCTCCAGGCGCACGCCGCGCGTTTTGGCCTCGAAGCGCAGGCGGTCGTTGCCCATGTCCCACACGTCGCTCCTCTTTCGCCTCCAGTCCTGGAGCGTGCACACAGTCCCGACCACCGCTAAGTGCGAATGCATGCATGCATGCATACGCACATACAAACATACATGCATGCATACATACCTGCACACATCCCTGCATGCATGCATGAATACATACATACCTACATGTGTGCCTGCACGCATGCATGTATGTATCCATGCATGCACGTACACACATGCATGCATGCCTACTGACATGCATACATACATACATACGTACGTACGTACATATATACATACATAACATGCCTACATGCATGCATGCATGCATGCATGCATGCATACATACACATACACGTACATTCATTCGTACAGACAGACAGACAGACAGACAGACAGACAGACAGACAGACAGACAGACAGACAGACATACACACATACATACATACATACATACATGCATGCATGCATGCATGCATGCATACATACATACATACATACATGCACGTATGTATGCATGCATGCACATACACATACATACGTTCACGTGCACCTGCATTCCAATCTCGCACGCTCTGCGCGCGACTAAATTCTAGCACGTCACAGCCCTTTGCAACGACATGAGCACGACCACACAGCATGTATTCAACATGAATTGCGACGACAGTTACATACAAGGACATCCTCAGAGGGCCAGGGAGGGAAGCCTCACCACAGGCCCCTTCCTCTTGCCTCCTCCTGTTGTTCCTCACCTTCCCTCCTCTCCTCCTCTCTCCTCCCACCTCTCCGTCCGTCGTTCCTTCAGCCCCCATCCTGGCCCATCCATCGCCTTCCCTAATCTACATTTCTTCACACTCCTTCTCCCATACTCCGTCCCCCTTCCACATATCATTGCCCATCTTCCCCATGCCCTCCTCTCTCCGACTCCTGGTTGGAGCTCTCATGAGGCGCTATCGTGCCACTTTAGGCCTCTGTCTGGAGCTGCCTGGGGGGAATCCTGGGGCCGTCTTGAGGGTGCCTTCGGGCGGTCTCGGGGGCCAATTGGGACTCTCTTGCGCCGTCTTGGAACTTCTCAAAACGATTTAAAGCTAAGAAATACCTACCATCGCCGCCAGTTCAAGTCCAGCACATCTCCTAGGAAGGGACTTCGTCGTGGGCTTGTGGAAAAGGCGGGGAGAGAGGACATCTCAGAGATGACAACATGCGCTTGGAAAAAAGAGGAAGGTGCGAACCCCTGCTGTTGTCTGATGTAGCCCGGGACAGCGCGATCCAGATCGGCCATGGAAAAGAGCAATCAGAATGCCCTGCGGCGTACCCACCCAATTTGCAACAAATGGCCAGGGTAGGTGGCTCGCATCGTGTGCACTACGGCGAGGCAAGACCCGCCGCCTGGTGTGCACGCTACTCGGGATGCGCGGGTGTGACACGACTCACTAAGACAGCAGCACGGGGACGAGGAGCGAGGCCCGGGGCTCGGAGACGAGGGTGGCAGGGAAAGGAGGGGCAGGCGAAGGACGAAAGGAAAGCCTAAAAGTCAACGCGGCGGCAGGGAGACGTGAGGGAGAAGGAGGACGAGAGAGGAGGGTGGCGATTTTCTCGCGCAGTTCGCTGATGAGCAGCGATGCCGCCGCCAGGTCGCTGAGGCGCCCTGGCCGATGAGCTGCTCACGATTGGTGCAGGAAGCGAGCGAGGCCCAGCTCGCCCGCCCCCTGGAGATGGCGAATTCAAATCTGGATCTCTGGCGGGGCGTCATTCCACTTAGACGCCCCAGCAGCCCTCGAAAGTGGCTACTGTTTCGTAGCTCGCAGCCCCCCAGCTCGTAGCCCCCAAGGGATGAGAGAGAAAGAGAGAATAGAGAGAGAGAGACAGAGAAGCAGTGCACGTCAGAGGTGCATTGGCAAAAGGGGGTGGAACAGCACCGACCAGCGATGCGAAGCCTCGGGCGCCGCCGGCTCCATGCACAAGGAAGGCTTGCAAACTGCATCATGCATACCCCACTCGCCAGAATTGCCCGCGGGTGGACGACTCGGGAGAGCAGCCGCAGCAGGGAGGCAGAGGAGGGAACGACACCCATGGTCCAGGACGAACCCGGGGCTGGGAGAAGAGGAAAACAAACAACAAAAAACAAACAAGAGGAAAACAAACAACAGAAAACGACTCAGGGGGGCAGCCGCAGCAGGGAGGCAGAGGAGGGGACGACACCCGGGGTCCAGGACGAGCCCGGGGCCGGGGGGAGGGAGGAGGAGGGGAGGGAGGAGGGCAGGGGAGAAGGGGGGTGGAGGGCGAAGCCCGCGCGACGGCCCGAGGGACGAGCAGGAGGGACAAGCATAGGGGGCCACAAATGAACCCTACCCTTACCCCCCACGAGTTCCGAGGGGGAGGGTGGGGTTCACTTCGTTCGGGAGTTCCCGAGCGAAGTGAACCCCACCCTCCCCTCACAAATCGTGGGGGGTAGGGGTAGGGTTCACGTGTGGTCCCTGAGCAGGCAGAGGAGCGACGCAGGACGGCGGGAAGAGGGAGCGACGCCACCACCTGGAGGGCAGGCTGCGGGCGGGCGAGGTTTCGCAACCCCTCAAATCATCCATAAGATCATAATCATAAAACTCGTGCTTCAAAGACAAAAGATAAGCGTTCAGCCCTTGATTCCACAAGGCGCGCAAAGCTTCCTCGCCGCCGGCCGTCTGGCAAGCAAGGTCGTACACCTGAAACTTCCACGCGTTGCGGGGCCGACCCCTCGGGGCGAGCCCCAGCCTGCACGAGCTCGAAAGTACCGCGCTGGAAAATGCACCTGCGCACGGGGCTGCTCCCTGGCATCAAGGCAATGCGTCGCATGAAAGACTCGAGCGGAAAATGTAAACCACCAGCGGGGCGTCGCTCCGCTGAACCACCCAATCAGCCCTCGAAAGTGGCGACGGTTTCGCACTTCGCAGCCCCCAGGGATGGCGAGGTAAAATGTAAGCCCCCTGCGGGGCGTCGCTCTGCTGTACGCTCCAGCATGGCATCGAAAGTGGCGACAGTTTCGCACTTCGCAGCCACCCAAGAATGGCGACGTTGATATGAATCCCCGGCGGGGCGTCGGGGCGTTTCTCTGGTGGACGCTCCAGCAGACCTCGAGAGTGGCAACAGTTTCGCAGTTCGCAGCCCCACAGGGATGGCGAGGCAAGGTGACAGGCAAGTAGGAGACAGGCAGGAGGCAGAAGGGAAGAGATGAGTAAGGAGGCAGGAAGCGGGAGAAGTGGAGACCGCAGCGCTCTGCTCGAAACGAACCCAGCGCAGGATGATTGGGAAGAAGAGGAGGGGAGGGAGGCGGGAAGGAGACGCGACAGCACACATCTATTCAAAACGAGAATCCAACGCGGGAGGGCTGGGGAAAACTATGTTGGGCCCTTTTGGAACCTTTTGGGGCTTCTTCGGGGCCTCTTGGGCTTCCTGGGGCCTTCTCAGGGACTCGGCGGGCCTCGTCGGCGCTTTTGGTCCGTCCCTGCGCAGGAACCGACCGGCTGGGAGCTTCAATTTAGGGCGGCCACGCGGAGTTTGGCATGGGCATATTGGGCGTTCTCCAGAGTGGCGCAGTGTGAATAGCGTGGTCGCTGTTGCAAGGGAAGCAATCATGGAGAAGCACAAGTATGCCTTGGACGTGTTGTAAACTGGAGGATCGGGAGGCCCTGCACAAGCGCATGCGGGGGCGCGTGAGGGAGCGGCGTCCTCCTCCTCCTCCTCCTCCTCCTCCTCCTCCTCCTCCAACTCTACCTCCTACTCTCCCGCCCCTTCCCCTCGAACGATGGAAACACCCGCTGGCACTCTCCGCCTCCCCTCCTGCCCTGGGCCCGCGCGAGGGTCTGGCCTTGGCGCCGCTGGCCAGCGCCGCATCCTCCGGGCGCGAGAAGGCGAAGAAGTGGCGCCAGCGGGTGGGCCACTTGAGTAGCTCCTGCGACGGCTGTGCGGCAGAGGCCCCGCACGGCGCGCAGCTTCCGATGCTGAACCGACTCATCACCATCATCACCACCAACAGCAACAACATCCTCAGCACCAACATTAGCAACGTCGTCATCATCACCACCACCAGAACCGTCGTCGTGATCGTCGTCGCCACACCCATCATCATCACCATCAGTAGCGCATGACCATCATCATCATCATCACCACCATCATCATCACCATCATCAATATCATCATCGTCGTCATCATCAGCATCATTAGCATCAACATCATCATCATCATCATCATCATCATCATCATCATCATCATCATCATCATCATCATCATCAGCATCATCATCATCATCATCATCAGCATCGTCCTCAGCATCATCATATGCGTCGTCAGCATCACCATCATCCTCATCATCACCATCATCACTATCATCATCGTCATTATTGTAAGCAGCATCGTCATGATCATCATCAACAGCATCACCATCAGCAGCAGCATCAGCATCAACACAATCATCAGCATCATCAGCATCGTCGTCCTTGCCGTTATCAGCATCATCAGTATCATCGTGGTCATCATAATAATCATCATGAGCATAATCATCATCATGGTCATCGCCATCATCATCATCATCATCATCATCATCATCATCATCATCATCATCATCATCATCAGCAGCAGCAGCAGCATCATCATCAAAAGCATAATTAGAAACAGCATCACCATTCATCCGTACCTTCCTCCCTCCTTCCCTCCCTCCCTCCCTCCTCCGCCCTCCTCCATCCTCCCTTCCTCCCTCACCTTCCCTCCCTCCCTCCCCTCCTCCTCGTCCTCCTCCTCCTCAGCACCCCCGTCCGCTCTACCTCCCTCCTGCTTCTTCTCCTAGACCCTTTTCCTCTCTCCATTCTCCTCTCTCCTCCTCCTCCTCCTCCACGCTGGGCGCGGCGGTCTCGGAGAGGTCGCGGGGAAGCCAGGGGGCCACGGCATCGGAGCACGGGCCGCGCACCGGCTGGCCTCTCCTGGTAGAAGTTGTCGCACACCCTGTCCTTCGGGAAGATGGCCACCTCGTGGGGCGCTTGCCGATACACATGCGAGGCGGGGGCTTCACCGCCTGTGGGATCGATCTTCGGGGACCGCGGCGGGAGGCGGATACAGACTTGTACATGTACCTGTGTCCATACACGCTCATGCATGCAAACCGACACGTCTGTACGTATGTGTATACGTCTATGTCTCCATCGCTGTCTCGGCATAAGTATCACAGCCGCAAATGTGCATACTTAAATGTGCAAGGATTCGGGCCATGGGGAACTATATAATGTAACATATATATATATGTGTATATATGCATATATATATACACATACATACACATATACATACATATACATATATATACATCGACTTTGACATGTCAATATCTATGTAGATAAATCTCCATATCCACCGCCCGCCGAGGTCCTCGAAGATCGATCCCCCAGCCGGCGGTCATGGACGAAGCCCCGCCGCGGAACACAGAGCGCCGGCTCGCAGTGCTACCGCACTGGCATCGGGGACAACCAGCATAGCACGGGGTTGGAGCGAGACGGGGTAAGGGGAAGCGAAGTGGAGCGAAGTGAAGCCGAGTGAGGCGAAGTGAAATGGAGTGAAGGGCAACGGAAAGCGCGATGGAGTGAAACTACAGAAATCCGCCGTCCCCATTAGGGGGCCAGCAGGCTGCGAGGCGTAATCTGTCCCGTTCTCTGCGCCAGTTCTGGCTCCCGAGTAAGAACTATTGATACTTTCTCTACTTCTACTCTCACTGTTGCACTGGTCGAGGACCGCGCCAGGGGGCGAACTGGAAAAGCGGCCGCTGACCACGCTGGAATCACGCAACCTGATCTCCCGCGTGGGGCCCGGGGCACGCAAAAACACAACCGATTCGCGCGCCCGAGGCCCGTCCTCCGCAAAATTACAATACGCAGGTGCGCGCTCCCCAGAGGCACAACCCCTTCAGCATCACCGTCGGGCCGCTGAAAGAAGGAACGCTGAATAAGGAACGAGGCCCCTTCTTGGCCCTGCAAGCGCCGCCGTGCCCCAGGAGGGCAAGAGGAACAGCACTGGAGGAAGCCGAGGACCGTCGAGCCCCTTCCGGACCCGACCTGTTCCCTACCTCAGCGTCTTGACTGCATACCAGGCCTGCGCTCCCCAAGCCACAGTCCCAAGCAAGCGGCACCAGGCACGCGCTCCCCAGAGGCACAGCGTGCGGGAAAGTCCACGTCAGACCAATGGCAACTACCGATGCCGCTGCCTCCTCGGCAGGAGGAGGAGGAGGAGGAGGAGGAGCGAGAGGAGAAGGAGGAGGAGGAGGAGGAGGAGGAGGAGGAGGAGGAGCGGGAGGAGGAGGAGCGGGAGGAGAAGGAGGAGGAGGAGGAGGAGGACGAGGAGGAGGAGGAGGAGGAAAAGGAGAAGGAGGAGGAGGAGGAGGAGGAGAAGGAGGAGGATGGCCGGCAAACCGAGAGCAGTCCCTTCGCAGTGACGCCAGGCCGCGCGCTCTCCCCACGCACTCCCGGGGCCACAGCCCCACGCAGAGGAAAGCAGGGCTGCGCCCTCGAAGCGACAGCCCCATCGCACCTCGCCGCGCCGCGGCGCTCCCGAGGCCGCGATGCCACCCCACGGAAGCTGCCTGAAGGCACCACCGCCTCTCCAGAGCAGAAACACCGTCATTACACCAGAGATCAAAAGCCCCAATCCGTGGATGGTTTTCGCGGAGGAGATCGACCGGGGACCCGGGAGCCCGGGAACCCAGAACCCACCGAAATCGGCCCGGAACCAATAGCCGGGAACCCAGGAACCCGGAGCTGGGTGAGCACCCAGGAACCCAGCCTGCCACCAAAAATCGGCGGGAAATGTTCGCCAAGTCTTTCAACCTCCGATAGGACCCCTTCAGTGCAAGCACTGATTGGGGAACTGTCATTTCCCGTATTGGGGTACGTACGTGTTCGGGGGGCGCTATTCGGCCCCTCCCCCCATCGCTTCCTGAGAATTATGAAGGGGCCCCGGGACACACAAATGAATAGACACGAACAACAGAATCCCAAATATTTTCCCATTTCCCCTTGGTTCTTGTCTTCCCCCCACTTCCCATATTTTCTGGGGAATCGAAGATGTTTCCCTCCTGGAATCGACGATTTCTCCCTCCTGATTTTTTCCTGGGGAAGCGACGATGTTTCCCTCCTGGAATCGACGATTCTTCCCTCCTGAAATTTGTTTTCTGGGGAATCGACGATTCTTCCCTCCTGAAATGTTCCCAGATTCTCTGGGGAACCGACGACTTTTCCCATACTTTCTGGGGAGTCGGCGATCTTTCCCTCCTGAGGTCAGGCCCGGGGCCCGAGGCCACGGAGATCATCGCGCGAGCAGCCGGGGGCGCGCGCTCCCGAAAAGCCTCGAGGCATCGCAAACCGTGGAAGCGGGCCGTCGAGGCCACCACGTCGTCGTCGTCGTCGTCGTCGTCGTCGTCGTCGTCGTCGTCGTCGTCGTCGTCGTCGTCGTCGTCGTCGTCGTCGTCGACGTCGACGTCGACGTCGACGACGTCGTCGACGTCGACGTCGACGTCGACGTCGTCGTCGTCGTCGGCGTCGTCGTCGGCGGATGCGCGCTCCCGAAGGCTCGAGGCATCGTAGACAGTGGAAGCAGGCTGCCGAGGCCACGACCTCTCACGACTTATTGCAGACGCGCGCAAGCAGCCAGCCAGCCAGCAATAGGCCCCGATCGATGGCCAGCTGGCAGTGCAGGCAAGAAGCCACTCAGCCGATTCGCCAGAACGTCGTCAGCCGACAAAGCAGTCCACCCTGCCAACCGAGCGTGGCCATGCAAGCAAGCTGAGGGGGGCCGGCTGCAGCTGGCCATCGCTCGGACGTCCATTCCCTGTGTTGTTTCGGTCTCGTGCGCGGTTTTTTCGCCAAGTGATCAAGGATGCTCCTCGATGGTCCTCGCCGAAGGAAAAGAACGCACACGTCCGAGCGATGCCAAGGCAGAGGGTGAAACCCTACACTACAGGTCGGCATAACGGCAGGTGAAGCTCAGCAGGGTGCAGTGGCATTGCCTCGAGCGGGCGGTAAAGTCGGTCTGCTTACCAGCCTGGAACATCTCCCTATCCCTATGCTGGGCACCTCCTCACCACGATGCCAGTCTTAGGGATTCGCTTCGTTTTTCAGGGCGAACCTCCCCAAGATTGTCATCGCCTTTGGGTGTGGCGATCTTAGGGATAGGGATAAGTTCGAGGCTGGTGATCTGCCAACCGCGGAGGGCACCCATCTTCATAGGCACCCATCTTAGGGATTTCCTTAGTTTTTCAGGGCGAATCCCTAAGATTGTCATTGCCTTTTGGCGTGGCAATCTTAGGGATAGGGATAAGTTCGAGGCTGGTGATCTGCCGACCGCGGAGGGCGCCCATCTTCATAGGCCGCCCAGGCCGCAAAGCGGACCAGCTGGCTCCAGAGAAGCTGGTCCTCCGCGGCTGCCGCCCGACGCGTGCTGCCCAGAGCCCCAAGTGCACACACACAACCAACCAATCGAAGGATTGCAAAAAAAAACACCTTCGAAGGATTGCAAAAAAAAAAAAAAAAAAAAACCTTCGAAGGGTTTTTTGCAATCCTTCGTCCAATCGAAGGGTTGTTTTGCAAGCCTTCGATGCGGATCCGAGCTATAGCCGGGTCGGGCGAAAGGGGGGGATAGCAAAGGGAGGAGGGTGAGAATCGGCTCACGTAGCTGATTTCCCCGGCGCCTCCCGGCGCCGGAGGCGGCCATGTATCGAGGAATGGGCCCCTCGGTGAGGCCGAAACCAGCTGCATGCAGCAAATTTCGTAACCCCCCCTTGCCCAATCCCCCCCTTTCGCCCTGCCCGATATAGGAGCACCGTCCAAGCCAACAACTTTCTGAACGGGGTAGCTGCGCAGTGATCCGGCATGCTGCCGTCATCGCAAGGAGGCCGTGTCGCTCTCCGCTCGGTGGTGGCAATGGCCAAGCTGGCACCCTCCTGGGAATGCAGACTCGTCAAGGACCGACAACGCCAACAGTGCACTGCGCGTGCTTCCAAATCTTCCTGGCGCCCCGATGGCGACATAGGGCCCTCGCAGACATCCAGCATGCAGACCATGAGGAGGAGGAGGAGGAGGAGGAGGAGGAGGAGGAGGAGGAGGAGGAGGAGGGAGGAGGGGGAGGAGGAGGAGGAGGAGGAGGAGGAGGAGGAGGCGGAGGAGGCGGAGGAGGAGAGGAGGAGGAGGAGGAGGAGGAAGAGTGAATTCAGCGAAATATCGACATGCGTTGCAGTGTCAACCGCGGTGGGCCCCACGGCCAGCCAGTCTGGGTCACCTGCCTGCGCGCGTCGCACGCCGCGACGCGCGGCGCACGCCGAGCTCCGCGCTCTCGCGCCGCCCCCTTGACAAAAAGACACCTTCGTGGCCAAGGCCACGACGCGCAGAGCGGAAGTATTGTCGCGACGCTCTCCACGACGCGCGAAGCGGAAGAGGAGGAGGAGGAGGAGGAGGAGGAGGAGGAGGAGGAGGAAGAGGATATGCTCGCCGCTCGCGGACCTGTACGTGACCTATGCAGGCTGTGCTGAACTCCGTGGCCCCACCCACAACTTGCACCGGGTACGTGCTACAATACACAGATTCCCGCGCAGAGGCGCTCTCGGAATAACCGAGGCGCAACTGCCTAGCCGAGGAGCGCAGTGTTGCGATTGTTCTGCGTAGCGGCAGTCACCGGGCCAGCCTCCCACACATAGCGACGGAACGTTCGGCGCCGGCGGGTTCTGGGAATGACTACGGATAGCTGAGGACAGCCGCGCTGGTACGTACGTAGGGATCGCTCGGTATAGCTGATCGCACTCCCGCCTACGCCGCCCGCATCGCGAGAACCACACAATGCCCGCGAGCGCCACGGTGGTGGCCTGCCAGCAATGCCACGTGCCTGGTGGCAAGGGCACACCAACAGCCTGCGCGCAAAACCCCCGTAAACGCAAGAGAGCGCATGCGGCCAGCGCGTGGTGAAGGACGCTGGATTCTGCCAGTGCCACACTCGCTTGCCAGCACCACTCGTTTACACAGCAGCGCCAGCACATCCCACGATAGCCTGCAAGCGCCGCACTATGCCTGCGAGAAGAACCAATACTGCGCATGCGGCCGCCGTAGAAGCCTGCGAGCACCACAGCAGGACTGAGAGCAACAGAGGAAAGAAAAGCGGACCCCGCGCCAGTCACACAATAACTTCTGAAGACCACTCGCACTCAAGCAAAACATAATGCTGGGTGAACAAGCAGTAACACCACAGGAGAATTCCCCCAGCCCTCTGGGCGTAGGTGATGAGGGCGTCTCCTCTTACAGCTTCCCCTCTTCCCATTCGGGGAGGGGCTTACCCCTTCACAATTACGAATATGAATACTACTCTCATCTCTCCCCTCATGACGTCCGGAAGATATCCGGCGCCCCTCCACGTATTGTTTTTTACAAGAATGAGTCCCTGGAAGTTGGTTGTCGCTTGCTTCTTTTTCGGGCCTCATTTCCACGCCTCCGCTCGTTCCGAATCGTGCTCCCGCTGCAGCGCTGGCCTCATTTCCACGCCTCCGCTCGTTCCGAATCGTGCTCCCGCTGCAGCGCTGGCCTCATTTCCGCGCCTCCGCTCGTCCCGAATCGTGCTCCCGCTGCAGCGGCGGCGTCATTGTTTCCAGTGCCATACCACTGCATGGTTCTCGGTCCTTCCAAATAGGCTCCAAAATCTAGAAAATGGCCTCCCGAAAAAGAAATACCGGAAGTGACTACACAGTCGGCGTCGGTTCACTAACTTTTGGGCCGCAGAAGCCCTCCCCCCCACTTTGGAGCGTCGCCACGTCATGCTATGCCATGCTCCGCGTTGATTTTCGACACCATGCTATGCCATGCAGTGCTACACCATGCTACGACACCCTATTGTGCGAATAGAGAGGAGATCTACGCCATGGTAAGGGATGGGAGGGAGGGATAGGACGTCAGATATGACACGAGCGCACCTAGCTTGCCCTGACCCACTCCCCTGGACTTGGACAAGGCGCCCCGCGAAATGTCAGAGAGTCCTTGTGGGGCCAAGATAGCCCTCAGAGAGCACAAGATGACCTCCAAGATGGTTCAAGAAAGCCCAAGCTGGTTCAATCTGGTTTCCAAGATGCTCAAAAGGGCCCCAAGACCGTTCCAAGACGGCTCCAACTTGCCACGGAACCTTCCACGGAGGCCCCGGGAGGCCAACATCCTACAAGAACCTGCAGAGAATCAATGAAAATTGACTTCTCGCCCTTTTGCTTTCGATGGTCGCCCCAGGCCTCAAGATGGCCCCAAGAGAGCCCAAGAGGGCCCCAAGAGAGGCCCAAGAGAGTCCAAAGACGGCAACAAGAGCGCCCATGAGCCCCAAGACCGCTCCAAGAGGGGCCCAAGAGGCGATGTTGGGGGCGTCCGAGGGGAAAGGCGAATGAAGGGCCCACCCTTCTTTGCTCGAACTCTTCCAAGATGGCTTCAAGAGGGCTTCCGAGGCCCCCAAGACAGCTCTAAGAGGCTCCCGAGAGGCCCCCAAGAAGCCCACAAGCGGCCCCCAAGAGGCCCCCAAGAAGCTCCCAGCGGCATACATGACATCCCAAGAGGCTCACAAGACCGCCAGGAGACCCCCAAGACGCCCCTAAAGGCCTCCAAGTCAATTTTCAATAAGTATCCCAAGAGATTATGAAATACATCCAAGAGGCCTCTGGCCTTCTGGTTGGCCTCCGCCTCTCCTCCCTCCTTCCACTTCCGTGTCCTCCTCCTTCGCTTCCTCTTCTTCCTCCTCCTCCTCCTCCTCCTCCTCCTCCTCCTCCTCCTCTTCCTCCTCCCCCTCCCACCGCCTCCGCCCCGCACCTCCCTCATCCCCCTCTTCTCCCTCCTCCTAACTCCTCCTGTCATCCTTTCTCGTTCTCATCATCCCCTTCGTCTTCATCATCATCATCATCATCATCATCATCATCATCATCATCATCATCATCAGCATCATCATCAGCAGCATCATCATCAGCATCATCATCATCATCAGCATCAGCATCATCATCATCATCGATCATCATCATCATCATCATCATCATCATCATCATCGTCATCATCATCATCATCATCATCATCATCATCATCATCATCATCATCATCATCATCATCATCATCATCATCATCATCATCATCATCATCGTCATCGTCCTCACTCTCTTAGTCCTCGTCCTCCTCATCCTCGTCCTCCTTCACTTCCTCGTCCTGCGCCTCTTGCCTCCTCCGCCTCCTCCTCCTCCTCGACCCCCGCGCGGGCCCGGGGATTGCGCCAACAGGCCCTCCAGGCCAGCCCCCCCTCGCCCCGAGAGGGTTCTCGATTCACCCTTGTTACCCGCGCTGTTAGCTGTATGTGTCTGTTCCTTCTTTCCCCTGTCAGCTATCGTGGGCATCGTTTCTGGACGGGCTGGTGGGGATTTGCGAAGCGTCAAGAAGAACGGCAGAAACGCCACTGACCCGCACTGATCCTGAACGGCAAAGCATACACGCTCCCGTGTGCAAGCATTGCAAATATTTGATTCCGCAGCCTCCCGTGCACCTCAGCGCGGTGGTCCTGCCGAAGGCAATGCGATGGGAGGGTCCGGCCCGCGGCACGGGAATCGGGAAGAAGCCGAGCCTGGGCGAGAGTATACACGCTCCTGTGCTGTACAAGAAGCAGCTCCCAGGCCCCCTCCCACCCCCTTAAGGGGCTCGTGCCAGAGACAAGAAGATCGCTAGCCCAGCCGCCATGCCGCTCCTCCTTGGCGGGGACGCTGGTCAGAGGGCCCGAGCAGAACCAAGGCAACGCAGCAGCATCAGAAGCATCGAGGCGCGGCAGCAGAAGCAGGAGCAGGACGAGGAGAACGGGAGGAGCCAGAAGCAGCAACAGCAGCAGGGGGAGGAGCAACAACAGCAGAATCGCACCATGTGACTGCTGCCCAGGCCCGCGAGTCCAGAACAGCCAGGCAGGGCGAAAGTGTTCAGCTCCCACCAGCCCACTTGGGGCACAGACGGTATAGCGGTCCTTTTCTCCTCGAATATATAATCTCCTTTCCCTACTCTGCAAGGGGGGTACACGTCGTTCAGTTCTAATCGTGCTAATTTCTAAGTGTGCTCGTTTCTAATTGTTCCTGGCCCCCTAGTGGCCAGGAAGAGGCCCAGGATAGAACAATTAGAAATGAAAGGATCTTGCCCCCCAAAAATTCAAAGAACCCTCAAAGAATTAGAAATGAACAAGGTGTACCCCTCCCCCTGCCCCCTCCCCTGGGTCTGGACGGGGAGAGCGCGGCGCGTTGGAGCGTCCGCGGTCGCCCAAGAGGGCCCCAAGAGGGCCCAAGGTGGCCCAACATGGCTGCCCAAGATCGGACGAGGTAGCCCAAGATGGTTCAAGACAGCGGCCAACATGCCTCCAAGAAGCCCCCGAGACCGCCCCAAGGCGGTTCCCAAGCGACCGCGGAGCCTCCCGAGGAACTCCCCACCGAGAGGCCAGCATCCTGCCAAGACCTGACGATGGAAAATCCATGCGTCTGCACTGCCGCCTTGTCGCTTCCAGTGGGCCCCTAAGCCCGCAAGATGGCTCTACCACGGCCCAGGAGAGCCCCAGCCAGGGGCCCAAGAGGGGCCCAAGAGGGGCCCAAGGACGGGCGCAAGAGCACCCAAAAGCGTCCCCACAGGACCCTAAGAGGCAACTATTCAGACTCCGAGGGGAGGAAGGGAGGGGGAGGGGGCACAATTGATGACGCCTCCTTGTTTGATCGATGGCTTAAAGGCTGCCCGAGGAAGCCCCTCAAGGCCCCAAAGAGGGCCCCAAGAGAGCCCCAAAGGCTTTCAAAGTGCCCCCACGAGGGCCCCAAGAGATCTCCAATGTCACAGTGTTTCGCCACTGCTTTACGAAATCCTTACCCACGCCCCTCCTCCAGGCAACTCCGCCTGGCATGTTTTTGTTCCCTGGGGGCTCTGCCGACGCATGTGAAATATGCAGCCGCGCATGGCAAAGTCCTGGGGATGAGAAGAGGAGGGGAGGGAGGAGAAGAAGACTCGAAGCCTTCAGACCGGGGGGCAAAATCCCGGCCCCGGAAACGAGCAGTGGCCCCGGCTCGGGCACGAAACAGACAATGCAGTGGTGCGGAAACACGGGCAGCTACAACGGCACGGATTCACTCTGCGAACGCATCGGCGCCCCGCGGGCGCTGCATGCTTTGGGCGGCGCACGCGAAGCGTCAAGAACCCCTTGTCCAAAGCCTGCCCGAGAATTCTCGGGAGCCGCGCGAGGATGCCCCGAGCTCCCGCTCCCCCCGCGAACCTTGGGCCGCGGGTCGTCGAAGAAGTTGTCGAGGATGCGCAACATGACGAGCGTCTTGCCGGTGCCCGTGGCCTCGGGGCCCAGAGGCGGAAGGAGGAGGAGCAGGGAGCAGGGAGGGATGGACGAGAGGGGAGGGAGGGAGGGAGAGAGGGAGAGAGGGAGGAGGAGGAGGAGGAGGAGGAGGAGGAGGAGGAAGAGGAGGAGGAGGAGGAGGAGGAGGAGGAGGAGGAGGAGGAGGAGGAGGAGAGAGAGGAGGAGGAGGGAGGAGGAAGGAGAAGGGGGAGGAGGAGGAGAGGAGGGAGGAAGAAGGGAAGGAGGAAGGAGGAAGGAGGAGGAGTACGGAGGAAGGAGGAGGGAAGGAAGTAGGAGGAGGAGGAGGAGGAGCAAGAAAGGAAGAAAGTAGGAGGAGGGAAGGAAGTAGGAGGAGGAGGAGGGGGAGGCGGAGGATGAGGAGGAGGTGGTAGGAGGGAGAAGAGCAGGAGGCGGAGGTGGAGAGCACGTCGCTCGAAGAAGAGGAGGACGGGGCGGAGGAGGAGGAGGAGGAGGAGGAGGAGGAGGAGGAGGAGGAAGGAGATGGGGAGGAAGGAGGGAGGAGGAGGAGGAGGGGGAGGATCGTTCGATCGATCGATCGAACTCTCGGGCCGCTCGGTGCTGCGCTGCCTCGACCAGAGCACGATCAAAAGCCCGGTGCGGCCCAGCTGTGGCCACCTCGTCGAGAGGGCGCCGCTGACGCCAGCCGGCGCTCGGGCCCGACCTGCGGCGCCCACCCGCTGCCGACCCGCTGCTCGCGGATGCCTTCCAGCCTGCTTCGCCTGCCCCTTGTCCTGAGCCAGCCCCGCCGCCCCCCTGCCGCGGCTGCTCGGGCCTGGGGGGGTGGCGGGGGGACGGTGCGTCACGCGGTGCTCTGGAGAATCCAGAAGACGGGCGGTGAATCTTCCGCTCGGGAGGTGGGGGGGTGGACGTGCCTGCCCGCAACAGCTCCCGGAACCTCCCGCTGCGAGCACAAACTTCTGGCACCGCCACCGGGGGGCGGGGGGGCGTGAGGGACCGATCTAATTCGAACCCCGTGCTCATGGGCTAAGTCGCTGCCTGTTGCTTCTCTCGCTGCCCCACTCGCTGCTGCTTCGCGAGGCGGCCTCTCTCTCTCTCTCTCGACCGATCGCCCCCGTCGGCGCAGCTCTCACGCGGCGCGCAGCTCCCTCGGCCGTCTGCTGGGTGATCAGCGCCGTGCAGAGCTGGTGCTGGGCGTGGTGAAGCTGCAACTGGAACCTGCACTTCTCGCTTTGTCGCCGCCCTGCTGCGTTCTGCCCCTGCTGCGCCCGATGCGAAACACCGGCATTGCATATGTTGGCCTTCTCAGAAGGCGGCGGGACTTCTGAGAAGGCGGCGGGGGGAAATGAGAAGGAGAGGGCCTTCTCAGAAGGGGGAAATGAGAAATGAGAAGGAGAAGGGGGGAAATGAGAAGGAGAAGGCCTTCTCAAAGGCGGCGGGACTTCTCAGAAGCCCTCGCGCCTTCTGAGAAGTTTTTTCCGTCGTCGGGGAAGGCTTAGAAAATTTCTCAGAAGGCCGGGGGATTTCCGAGCCTTCTGAGAAGGCCTTCTCCTTCTCACTTCCCCCCCTCGCTCGCCGCCGAATATGCCACTCCTTCTGGCGCTGGCGCGAGAAGGACTTGCGGGCAGTACTGGGCGAACCGTTCTCTGGTCGCTCCTTTTCTGGAGCACACTCCCCGGGCACGCGCACGCCCCCCGCACGTGTGCGTCCACGTGGGGGCTGCCAGGCAATGCTGCGTCCACCTCTTCCCCGTACAGGGCAGTTTTCAATACACAGGCTTTTTTTTTTAATATAGGATTTTCAATACATGATTAATTAGTGAATGAATTTATGCATGAGCTCATCGTTGTTGTTGTTGATCTAAACCCTGCATTTTTAATACATTATCCGCACGCGGGGCATGTATATTAAAAACGGCACTGTGCTGCGCCCGCTGGCGCAGCGCCAGAGCCTCCTCGCGGCACGCTCCTGCCTGCCTCGAGCCCCGAGGAAGCGACGCCGGCCGATGCTCTGATCCTCAGTCTGCAAGAGTGCTGCCGCCGCCAACTCCGCCTGTCGACTGCACGCAAGAGTGACCCCTGGGCAAGAGTGACCCCTGGTGCGCGGCCTCTCGAGGACCGGGGCAGGGCCAAACACGAGCGAGCGCGCAAGACGCGACGGTATCGCATCGCCACCGGCGATCGGGGGACCCCATTGGGCCCGCACCGAAGGTCCCTCCGGCGAGAGGTCGCTCTCACGCCCAGTCGAGCCTGCTCTCCCTGGCCCAGGCGAGCGCCGGCCTCGCCGCCAAGGCGACCACGCTTGGGGGGGGGAGGGGGAGGGAGGAGGAGGAGGAGAGAGGAGAGGAGGAGGAGGAGGAGGAGGAGAGGAGGAGGAGGAGGAGGAGGAGCAGGAGGAGGAGGAGGAGGAGGAGGAGGAGGAGCCGCAGTGTGGGCCGTCGCTTCTCTGCCGGCGCCGGCCGGAGCCGCGGGGGGTCTGTGACCCTCTGCCTGCCGCTGCCGCCCCCGCGTCGCCGCCGCGCCTGCCGCGCCTGCCGCGGCGCCGCGCCCGCCCTGCGCCCCGGGCTGGGCGCGCTGCTCGAGCACCGACAGCCGCTGGCCGCCAGTTTCCGACCAGCAAGTCTCTGCGCGCGGGGGGCCTGTCGAGGATCGAGGATCGATCGAGGATCGAGGTTTGGAGGTCGAGGGCCGATCGAGGATCGAGGATCGATCGAGGATCGAGGATCGACCGAGGATCCACCGAGGATCCACCGAGGATCGAGGATCGATCGAGGACCGAGGATCGAAAATCGAGGATCGAGGATCGAGGATCGACCGAGGATCGAGGTTCGATCGAGGATCGAGGATCGAGGATCGAGGATCGAACGAGGATCGAAGATCGATCGATGATCGAGGATAAGACCTCTGGGGGTACACGTCATGAAAAAAATTGATTGCGTCGGGGGACTGGTGCTGGGGAAGCGCATGGAGGGGACCGGCTCTGGGGGGATGCGTGAGAGCTGGAAGCGGCGGTGCATCGCTGATATAGATCGGCCAGGGGCCCCCCTTACAGTGATAGGGAGCCGAACTCTATACACCGACGCTTTTCTGTTCCAGCCCTGCACCGAAATCTGCACAGGGAAGCGGATCCTGGTGCATGCGGGATCCTGGTGTACCCATCGGTCGGAAGAAGTAGGCAGAAAGATGAAGTAGGAAGGCGTTGGAAATAGATCGGGTTTCCGCCCCGCCTCCTGAGGAGGAGGGGAGAGGGAAAATCACTCGACTCTTGAAGTAGGAAGGCGCTGGAAGTAGATTGGAATCTGGGAATCCAAAAATACCTACTTTCAACGACCGAGGGTACACATGCCTCGTTGTTTCCAGGGGGACAGGCGGGAAAGTATACGCCGCACCACCCCGACGTCGCTCCCGACCCTCAGGAAGGTCCTGGGATTGAGAGACATCCTGCCCCTGGCAGTGCACATGCTCCAGTCTCCGAAGTGAGGCCGCACGGTCCTGGCGGCAGGATGGACCATCGGGCCCCATACCGGTGATCCATGCGCGGTCGTGGGGCGATGCGCTCCCCCGCGAGCCCGTCGCCCCCCTGCCGCTGCCCCCCGGATCTGCCCAGCAGCAGCCTACACGGTTGCGGCCCTTGCCGACGTGCGCTCCCTACGGCAGCTCCGCGTCGTGACGACATCGGCGTTCGTTCTTGACACCGCGCGGATCGTGCAACCTGGAACGATCCGCGGCTTTCCGATCGCCGGATCGTTCCATGCTGGCCGATTCCGGGCCACTGGCGGCGTTCAACCCTGAACGTCCGCGCTGGGGTCGTCGCCGCGTCAACGCAGCACGAGCCTACCGTAGAGAGGGGGGCGCCTCGGGAGGGGGGAAGACTGAGCAGGAATCGGCGACACATGCTTTGATCCGCGGGTCGAGAGCGCACCTCTTCCGGTCGAAGCTAAGCGGGCCGCGCGAAGCTTAAAGTAGGCGGAGAAGAGGAGGGAGGAAAGGAATCGGCGGCACGTCGCCGTCAGAGTGGCGACCAGCCGGCGGCAGCGGAACCGCACTCTCCTGGGCGGGGAGGGCTGTCGGGCCCCCCATCGGCGGCCCGTGGGCGAGCGGGGGTCGAAGCGATCCCCCCCTGAGCCGACCACCCCCCCCGGATGCCACCCCTGACCCACAGAGGCTCAAAGAGTAGGAGACACCAGCAGCCCTCCCTGGCGTTTTCCGTCCTTCCCGGGGCCTCCCAGAGGTCCCTCGTCGAGAATCGGATAACCAGCCTCGAACGTATCCCTCTCCCTAAGATGGGCGAACAAAAAAGCGAGGACAATCTTAGGGACAGGCCCTCAGAAACTGAGGGAACCCTTAAGATCGGCATCGAGGTGAGGTGATGTCAAACATAGGGATAGGGATATGTTTCAAACTGGCAATCGGAAGAGAGCCAGCACGAACGAAAGGGGGGATGTTAGCGAGTCGGCTCACGCGGCTGGTCTTCCTGGCGCCGCAGGCACCAGTGCGATCGAGGCGAATATGCCCAGCGGCGGGGCCAAGTCCCCGAAGCGTTGCCCCTGAACCTGCAGCACAACAGCTTGCGACTGCGATCCTGGCCGACGCCCTGGGCTCACGACGGCAGCTTCGTGCCGCGACGGGGGTGCGCGCTGGTCCCCGGCGCCACGCGGATCGTTCAGACGTGGGCGGAAGTTGCTGGTCTTCCCGCGTCTCCGGGATCTGCTGACCCGGCCCACTGCAAACCCTGGTCCGTCGGGCTCTGTAGGATCCTGCAAGATCCTGCCGAACCCTGCACCCACGCCTGGGTTCCTGCGGCCCTGGCTCTGCAGGATCCTGCAAGACCCAGCGCCCTGGCTGACCCCTGCTTGCATGGCTCCCCCGCCTCTTGAACCCCGAACGGTGCAGACCGTTCGAACGCCGGCCGACTGCGGGCCACCGGCAGCACTCAGCCTTGAGCGCCCGCGCTGGGGTCGCCGCCGCGTCGACGCGACGCGAGCCTGTAGTGCGCGAGGCAGGCGATCGCCCTGGCCGTGC